TGCTCTCGGCGCGTGATGATCGATGATCCTTCACGTAGCTTCAAGGCTCGCGAAGAGGCTGTCTAGCCTAAACGAGGTGAGTTTCGTCTGCTGGAACGTACATTGGATTCTGATCGGTGTGAGCGTGACAGATCCTGGAGCCGCCGCTTGGACGTTATGAACATTGGCCCTCCTCGTTTCTATGATTGCACGCCGCCCTCAGGATTCCGACGACCACTACCTCCGGGCTACATACACGACCGATTTCCTCCAACCGCGAACGCGCTCCTGCTCTGCATTGAGACCGCGACTACGACCAGGATAGAGATGCAAGATTTGCTCGTCGTGAATCGTCGCCGCCATCGCCTAGCTTGGAGACCCGTGAGGAGCGTGAGCCGTCGAGTATCTGGCAACTTTCCTGCATTGTCGTCTTTTCTACTCCCCGGGGATATACCGCCCCCCCACCCGTTTGACACTCGTCCCCCAAGTGCACTTCTTTCCGGCGGGTACCCTCCTGGTGACCAGGAACGCAACTGATCCGAACGTGCTCGCCATTTATCAATCGGTGCAAGCCCGGGAAGCTACAACTGGATTCGCGGTCGCAGCCCCAGCCTGCCACGTTGTACCAACTCAGCCGTCGACGACCTCAGACCGCCGGTGAAACGAGCGAAGGACGATGCGTACGATGCTTCGGGATACTATTCCTCTGCACCGGATGCGGTCGATGCCGGGCGTAACTACCCGCCGCCACCGCGATTGCGTACACCACCGCCGGGGCCTCCGGGCGCGTACTACGACGGTACCAGAGGCTATCCCCCGTGGGGTGTGAGCCCTGCTCCTTCAGCTCGTGATCGTGATCGCGATTACATGGACGGTAGAGGCGGATATGCGCCCCTACGACAGGCGAGAGCCTGCATCACTGGACAGAATGCCTCCGCCGAGATCACCGGCACCGTATACCAGAGGCGGCTAAGGAAGGGATGAGCGCCGGTATCGTCCACCACGACCGCGATTACTTGAGAACGCGACGAGCTAGGACATTTGATGTACTTCTGCTGCTGTGTCTTGCATACTTGTTTGCGTGTGCACTGTCTAATCAAAAATTTGGTCGCATATGCGTATTCCATGTTTCGTTGTGCAGTGTTTTTGTCGTGGTATCTATGACCATGCCCTCTATCATGCACTCACGCGAGCTGGCTTCGAGCGAAATGGACGACGGGTGTGGATGATGCATCAGTTCTCGCCGCGTGTCGGGCACTGCCTGCCTATTGCCCCACGGTCCTCGTATCAGGGCGCGTGTGAGGTCCTCACGGTGCTCGTCCCGGCTCTCTCTCGCCCGTCCCCCATCGAGTTGCATATCCAACAGCGATTATTCACTTCTGATCATGTCTATCCCAAACACACATCCTGTACCCAGACATCAAGGCGCCTCAGCCGGCTTCTTACGCTTTCAAAAGCTCTGGGAGGACGCCATTCTCAAGTACAACAATGTTACGGACTCGAACCTCCGTCGCTCACCCCTCTTCAACAAAATGATCTACGCAAACTCCGTCGAGGAAGTTGTTCGCGTCCTCGAAGAGCACAAGAAAGGCTTCAGGGCTTTTCGCAAACACGGCGAGAAGGCCCGTGCTGTTGTGGCACCGATCTTTACCTTCACGAAGCTGCTCATCGACGCTGGTGGCGAGGCGGCTGTGGCTTCAGTGTGTGCTCTGCTTATGTTAATTGCCTTTCTCTCATCTACAAACAGGGTGTGGTGCCCGGCGGCAAGGCTATTTTCACAGCGTTCGGGGTCCTTCTGGAGGTACGTCCGCCATTTGCATCCAAACTCTGTCAACTCTCATTTCCGGGGCTAACAATCATCAAGGCAGCCGAAAAGGTTAGCCAGAGCTTCGATGCTATCGAGGGACTTCTGTCAAGGCTCGGAGGGGTCCTCAGACGCCTTCACAATCACCTGCGATCATACACGGTGCTTAACGATCAACTGGAAGACATTTTTGTTCGCGCGCTTGTCCAGCTGCTCGATGTACTCGCTCTCTGTACAAAATATATCAGGAAGCGAGTGTCATTGCGTGACACAATTTTGAAGCGCACGGGTAGGGAATATTCACATTCAGATCACTGTGGGAGTTATTCCTAACCATCGAGGTAGGAGACTACAGTCGAGCTCTCCTTGGAAACAAGGATGTAAAGGATGCACTTGAGAAGCTAGACAAGCTCACAAAGGAGGAGCTTTTGGCCAATACAGCTCAGACACTTGATGTGGTGCAAGGCATAGCCAATGGTGTTGATGCTGGTCTGTCATCACCACATGTAGTGCATCTTTGCATATTCTCATCTGATGCATTTCTAGTGTGCAATGATCTTGCCGACCTGCGAGGCATTGGAGCTAGCACTCTCAACCTGCACCGTGAGGACTGCATCTCTGGGGTATTCAATCTGGCTTAACCAGGCTTGCAGTTGACAAGGACATACAAGACTGGCTAGCTTCTCCTGATCCCAGTCAAAATCATGAGGAACGACGAACTTCACACTTGGCAGGCACTTGCACATGGTTCTTTGACAGCAAGTTTGAAGAGTGGAAGGACAGTAAGAATGGTGTGTACTGGATCCATGGGAACCGTAAGTCTTCTATTCAGCTGTGGTGGTCATTCAATAACTTTGTGTTGTAGCTGGAACAGGGAAGAGTGTTCTTTGGTGTGTACAGCTTAAAGTTGGCTAACACCCCGTTAGCACTAATGGTATACCTTGGCAACTATAGCTCATCTATCATTGAACATATCTCCTCCATCTCTGGCCTGCACATGGCCTACTTCTACTTTGATTACCGCCGCACTGAGATGCAGACCATAACTGGCCTGTTGGCCTCTCTCATTTACCAACTTGCTATTTGCTCTGAACAGTGTCACCAAGTTCTGATGAAGTTCCGTGCAGAGAACAGGGCCAAGCTCAGCCCTACCAGGGAGCTTCTTATTGACTGCCTAGAGCAGATCCTCCAGGCTTCCACCAGTGGAGTGGTTATCATCATTGATGCTCTTGATGAGTGTCCACACTCTATCAGACAATCTGAACTATTCCCTACCCTCCACAGACTTGTGTCAAGGAGCCTTGGAGGCCTACACATTCTCTTCACAAGCCGGCCTGAGGCTGACATCCAGAAGGCTATATCTGGTTTTCCT